TCAAAGTGCCATCTTGGAAGCATAGACTGGGCCCTCACCAAATACCAAATCTGCTGGCACCTTGAATTTGGACTCCCACCCTCCAAAACTGTAAGCAATAAATTTATATTTTTTATAAATTAGCCATTGTCATGGTATTTTGTCATAGCAGCAGGAGTGGACCAGACAGAGGTGACCAAGCTTACATGATTTCAGAACTGAGTCCCTGAAGGAGACCTCAGATACCTGAAAGAGACCTCACTGGTATCTTCTGGACCCTTTGTGATGACTAGCTGCCCACTCTGGTCTTTTGGGTACTGCTGCCTGAAACGTTACTCTGGTATTGTGGGGATTGCATGTTGGACCCAGCCATTAATTTTCAGTCACCATTTCCCCAAAAACAAAGACCTCTGTGTCTTGATCCCAGTCCTCTAGTGCTCTACCAGCTGTCATGGCAGTCCTGCACACTCACACAGGTGTCCTGCAACATGGTGCAAGTATCCCCATCTGAGACATCTCCTGGAACATGAGTTGCCAATCCATGGTCTGTGAGCCAAATGCAGTCTGCTACTTGATTTTATAAATAAGATTATTTAAAAATACAGCTATAGCCATTTATGTACATACTGCTTATGGCTGCTTTTTTGCTTCAAAGGCAGAATTGAGTAGTTGCAACAGAATCCATGTGGCCCACAAAACCTAAAATAGGAGTGTCCAATCTTTTGGCTTCCCTGGGCCACATTGGACGAAGAAGACTTGTCTTGGGCCACACGTAAAATACTCTAAGGATAGCTAATGAGCTAAAAAATATATTTTCAGAAAGGTTATGAATTTGTGTTGGGCCACATTCAAAGCCATCCTGGGCTTCATGCAGCCTATGGGCCATGGGTTAAACAAACTTGGCTTAAAATATTTACTATATGACTCCTACAAGAAAAATTTGCTATTCCTATCTTAGAGTTTTGTAATCTTTACTTGTACGACCAGGGAAGTGTTGTTGTACAGTAATCTCTGGCTGCATCCCTCCTGAGCCGTGTTTCTGGACTCCTTCATAGTATGTTGATATTTCTTTGGCACTCCCTTTCCAGAATTTTCACTCCAAAAAAGGACAAAGAAACCACAAAGTTTAATTCTTTGCTTTACCTAAGTCTCACTCTAAATCTATCTATGGATTCTAAATGGCACTTTACAGATTGTTTCCATATGTTTATGTCTGGTTAACTGGCTAATTTTGTTTCAGAGTTAGTTGTCAAACTTCTTAAGGATTAAGACAAGATCTAATATTTCTTCCATATTTTTCATGGAGTCCCTAAGAAGGTGCCAGTGGTTTATAAATATTTGTTGGTTGATTTTTAGGTCATGTTTAGAACCTTTACATGACTGTGAACTGCAGCTATCATATGTGCCATGGGCTTTTTTATTGCTGTTGTTTCTTTTGGGTTTTGCACCATTTCCTCTGTCCCCACACAGTAAATCCTAACTTTCAAGCTTAGGTTCTGAACAACTCACTCTGAACCAAATATATTCTGTGTGCTCTCTGCCTTAATTCTAAAGTCTGCTCATTGCTCATTCCAAGTTTCTCCAGAAGGTCTGCTCCATTGCTAAGAATCTCTAGAAAAACAAGAATTTGCAGATTCAGGAAAGAACCTCCATGTTGTAGAAACAACTATATCATTTTTAAAATTCAACAATTTTGTTTTGTTACTAAAGGAATACAGGCATCATATAATCAGGGGCCTTGTCTGGTTTGTTCATCCTTAAAAACCCAAACCTAGAACATTGTTTGTACATAATAGATGTTCAATGAATATAAATGAAAGACAGCATAGTTATTAAAGTGTAAGGAAAGAAAAAAAAGAAATGAAATAAAATCTTGAGCAGAAGCGCTAATATAAAAAATATACGTGGCTGGGTGCAGTGGCTCACACTTGTAATCCTAACACTTCAGGAGGCCAAGATAGGAGGATCTGTTGAGCTCAGGAGTTCAAGACAGGCCTGGGCTACACCCTAAGACCCCATGTCCACAAAAAATAATTTGTTTGTTTCTCTAATTAGCTGGGAATGGTGGTGCACACCTGTAGTCCTAGCTACTTGGAGGCTGAGGCAAAAGGATCTCTTGAGCCTGGGAGATTGAGGCTAGAGAGGGCCCTGATTGTTCCACTGCACTCCAGCTTGGGCAAAAGAGTGAGGCCCTGTCTCAAAACTAAATGAATAAATTAAAATTTAAAAAAATATAAGTGTATGTTTCTGTAAGCATTTACAAGTTTAAATTCATAACATTTACTGTAAAAGTCTATAAATAATATTATTAGAACTGTAAATGAAACTTTGAAATCAGGTGTTGTAACTGATGGCTGTAACCTGATTTCAGCATAAATATTCCATTTATTTCTGCATTTCTTTCATTTACGTAGGATAGAGAAAATCCTGATTTACACAGATGACTTGTTAATTTTTTTAACATTTCACTTGGCAATCTCAGAAGTCTTCATTTAAACACACCCAGAAACAACTTGGAAGAAGAGTAGCACAAAATTTATTTAAAATTTGAATAACTATCAGTATCTCAGAATTATATTTGATGAACAGTTTTCTCAGTAAGTCTAAATCTTTGTTAATATAAATATATGTGCCTATCATATGAGATATATACCTTGAAATATTTATCATGATTAAGGAAACTTATCTTAATACTCATCTCTATTTTATATATATATATATATATATATACACACACACACTCAGAGATTCGTAAGAATCACATCTATTTTATTTTGCATATTGAATCCAAAGTCTGTTTCGATTTTTATGCTAAAACTTTAGGTGCAGCTGTAAATGAGAGTAACATGGCAGGCTAGTGTTGTCATATTGAGTCCCTTCAGATTATTAAAAACGTCAGCAAGAGATGAAAGGAAGCGCAATCATGTTTTAAAAGAGGTATTGTTAATGGTGATACTACCAGGAGGAAAAAAGAAATTTCTTACCTCATTTTAAAGATTTGTTTCAGGACTATACCTTGGCAGAACCAATTGTCCTCGGTTGAAAAGTGAATATTGGAATCTATATAGCCACAAATAATGCTAAAAATTCTGCATTCTAAAAAGTACACCTTAAAAAATTGGCAATTCCTATCACAAAAACCAACAGTGTTTTAAAGTTGCTCATTAATCTTCCCAATAGGGAGTAGTTGTCTACAGAACATACCACAATTATTTAAACTCATTTCGGCAACTGCTCTTACATGAATCACAACTCCTATTGTTTTTCCAGCTATTACTTTCTCTAATTTCAACACGCATACATTTTTGACAACTTATTTGATTGCATGTTTTAAAAATTAGCATAAGGCTTAAACATTTTTCCTATTGTATGTGCTTAAATAGTTTGACCTGGTAATATAGATTCTTTGTATTTACTTATATGGCCCATTCTTATAAAAGCCAACACTGATGTAATGCACGGTATTCAAGACTTGCAACTGTTCAATTGCAAACGCTTCACTCTTTAAAATAAACAATTTTTTATAAGCAGCTTCTTAATGTTCTTTTCACATAGAATTCTAAAATAATGGCAATAAGTACACGTTCATTGCTTGCTCATCTACCATGACTGTTGCAAAATCAATAATGTAAGGTTGAATGAGTGTTTTCCTGATATCTTGCACTTTTCCCTTACTTACAACATGATAACTTCAAATGGCACTATTGACATTGACATTGACGTTTTTAAGTATACATTTTGAAGAACATTTGAGTGGTTCCAATTGTACTAACAAATGCTGGGAGACTTACTTTCTCAAGGTCAAGATTTTATTTCAGAACCTTAGAACTTGTCAGGATTCACAGAACAAAGAATTTTGCAAATTTTAGTTTCACAAACACAATGAGGATTTTGTATAGCGAGCAGTGTATAACCTGATTTGTGTATTCTGATCCTGATCATTTTTATGATATTTACCATGAAATTGTATGTTCTTTTGAAACTTCCTGTCTTTAATTAGCCATCAGATTCTGGTTTGAATAGCAATTATTTCACCTCAATTGTAACGATTACACTTACGAGTATATTTAATTTAGGTAAGTAACATCTGACACTATCTTTAGTACAATACGGTCATGATACAGTGCGTAGAGTTCACTCGTTATTGCACAATTGTCTAATAAGCCATGATAAGAGCATGGGCTGAGCAGATGTGCCTGAGTTTTGCCTGGCATTTAGCTGAGCACAGTACACATGTGCTGAACTAGTGAACTCACTTGTATAATTTTACATGAGGAGACATGTGCAGGCTTGAATTCAAAGAAAGACCAAAGCAAAACCATCTTCATCCTAATCAATTACACATTTGTAGAAAGGTCAAATATATGCATAAATAAACACAAAGAGCCACAGACTGAAATCTGCATGAAAGCAAGTTAAACACAGTGCACATAAGGTGCTTCATCATCTCAAAAGTGCTGAAAATTGGCAACTATCGCATCAGTATTTGTTATTGTTGTTGGGTCTTGGGGGTTTGTTTTCGTTTCTGCTTTTGTTTGGTTTGGGTTGCAGCTTTTAAAATAAATATAAACTATTTCTAAATCACATGTGAAGCTCTAGAAGCATCTTGGAGAAACCTGAAGTTTCACAGAAAGCAGGTGAAAGTGCACATGGATCTCAAAAATGCCTAGTCTAACATAAGACATGGTCAGTATGGTTTGTCACTTCCTAAGTGAAATGACTTCTTGAGTATAGGAGTAAAGGGGATGGAAAGGAAAAGGGATGGGAGAGAAGGGAAAGGCAGGGAGGAGAGGGGAGAAAAAAGGAAGGAAAGGAAAAGGAGAAAGAAAGGAAAGGAAAGGAAAGGAAAGGAAAGGAAAGGAAAGGAAAGGAAAGGAAAGGAAAGGAAAGGAAAGGAAAGGAAAGGAAAGGAAAAGGGAAAAGGGAAAGGAAAGAGGAGGGAGGGAGGAAAAGAAGAAAAAAAAAAAGGAAAACCACTTGAGCTAGTGCTTTGTGATCAGTGATATTTCCATACTCTTAAATCTCTATTTCTCTTACCTCTGAAGTCATCCACCTTCCACCCAGGCTTGCTCCTTGTCAAAGCCTTGCCACTTTGGCTTATTGAAGTTCCCTTTCCTGTAACTCTTAGCAGCTTCCTCAAGTACAATGTATCTTTACTCCCAGAGGACCCTACAGAAGAAAGAATAATGATGTGTTCGTTGGTGAGTTTTTAAAGGGATTAATAGGTTTTATGAAGCTGTAATTAGTCATATCAGTAATAAACATGACATTTTTTGTTTCCTGAACCTATGACTATAGAAAATATTAATAAAATGAATTTTTTTTCTTTTTAACACCTACTATGTGAGAGTAAGTTTTTAAAATGCTTATAATGACCATGCATTGCACACTCTGTTCCAGGCATTGTGTTAAATGCATTCTATTCATAATCTTTTTCAATTTTCACAACACCAGGAGATAGGAAATATAATCTTCTTTTTCCATATCAGAAAATTATGGCTTAAAAACTTTAATAGCCCAAGGTCAAACGGTTAGTGAGAGGATAGGGAGAGATTTCAAACTGTATCTGTCTGATTCTAAAATCTATGTTATTAACCCTTAAATGCTATATCTCTTCCTTCAAACTTTTATAACCTCAAGTTCAATGAATCTCTGACCAATTCAATGCCCAGGAGTTAAATTTCTAACCGATTCTATCTATTATTACAGATTATAATTTTTTAGAGCTATCTTCCTATGTTGTTATCGTAAGTTTATATTTTACTTACCTAATGTAGCACCAATGCAGAAGTATAACTTTTTAAAAGGTTGATAAATTTAAAACTGCACTCCTAAAAGCCAGGATTTTAGTCTTACAATAATCTGAAACTAACAGGAAACTTTTATCTTAATCTCTGTTTCACTGTAAAGAAGTGTCAAACTTTTTTCAATTTTGAGTATTCACATGAAACTTCTGCTAAGAAATATTGAGAAAGCAATCTATGAACCGTAGATTAGTTAAATCTCTTTATCTTTCAAATGAGAACATGAAATGCATATATGTGCACAGAAACATGGCTGCCTGCATGTGAACACACATGCACACACATGCGCAACTTTGCACTCTGCTTTCTCTTCCCTCACTCAGCTCTCTTTATCATAGAATCCTTCCTTCTTTCTTCTTTAATCCTGGAACAGCTTTCTAAATGACCTCCTCACAGTATAGCACTGCCAAGGTTAGCCAATTGATTGAAATACTCCCCATTAGCTCCACATAGCCAGCAGTCAGAAACACTGCGAGTCATTTTTTCCCTCTCAAACATCTTTTACACAATCACTGTAAGTATTTTCCATAATGCTTCCTGTTAGGTAGAAGCTGACCTCTTGCAACTGATCAGCAGAAGTAGTCAATCTTCAAAGCTGCAAATAATTACGCCTCTCCTTTAGTTCAAATCATATTTCATTATCAAAATATTTTTAAACTAAGGGTAGATTTTTTTCTGACCCCCTTATTTCACGGATGCAGAAACTATAGCTCATTATGGCTCAAAAAGATAACATGATAGGGATAATCAAAATGATACAGTGAAGAAGGCGAAGTAGAATCTAGACCACAGGCAGAACTAATATGTTTAAAAGTCGGTTTCTCCATACACTTTGTAGTGCCTGCAGCATACCACCTGCAAGGCTGAAGTGCCATCTTTACCATCAATACAAATGTCTACAACCTAACTCTTCTGTACATTAGTTCTTTTATCAGATAACCACTGGCAGCTACTCAAGTGAATGCATTCTGTGTCTCATTTTGCAAAATGATTTTATCCTTCCTTTATTATTCTATTATGGATATTCTTTCACATTCATATACTTTGGCGTGATACACTCATGCTGTTTTATGAAAAAAAAATCCATACTTGAGAATAGAATATTATACAATCTTGATATAACCAATGTCACCTCATATAATGAATGAGTTAATAAAATACACAAGATGATTGCTTCTCTTCCCCACTTTCTTTATATCCTAGTTGAGGCTGCTACAAGTGCATATAATACAATAATTATTATTATGTTCTATTGTCAAAATATATTGAAAGCTCAACAACTACTGATGAACAAATCTCAACAGGGTTTGAACTGAAAGTTCCTTAGTTTCTCCCAAAATTTCACTAAAGTAGACTTCTTATAAAGTCCTGAGGGCTCCTTAGTCTCCACTGAGAGAAAAGTTCTATAATTATATAGAATTTTCTTTCTATATTCTGGCACATGTAATTTGGATCTTAGCCCAGGCTATAAGTTACTAGCTGAAATTCTATTCTCTCCCACCCTTCATTGTTAAAAGTTGTGCTTCAATCAACAGTTCTAACACTGCCCCTTGGTCTTTAACCTTTCAGAATAATTCTTTTTTTTTTACACTCAGATCAATATTTTTCTGGCTTATATCCCAGCTTTTTATGGCCTATGTATCATACGTGGAACAAATGTTTTCTTTCATCTTTTAATGTAGTCTTCCTTAAATCCTGTGGAAGATAATTTATGTTATTTTTCACCAACCACTAATCCACATGCAAGTAGAAACATATTCTGAACTAATTAGCTTATATGCAACAGGAAAGGGAAATTATCTTCTGAAGAGTTATATCTAGGCAGGTCTTAGTTTAATTTGATTCCATTTCTGAATCAAATTTCAAACAATAACATTGTTCTTTATGCCAAATGTTGTAAAATGCAAAAGCATAATATGTCCTTAATAGTAAAATCATAAAATATCATAAACTGGACATAGTGCCCTATCAAAGTCATCTATTTTCTCTTGTCCTTAGTATATCTTTCTAAAGCCTTCTCTTTAACCTTTCTTCTGTGCTCCTTCTCATCCACTGACAAATATTTCTTGTCCCATAGCTATGTCCACACACATCATGTACACACACACACACACAATTCTCTCAGACTCAACTTGGGTCTGCTCTCTGCAAAGATGAGTGCCATTGTTCCTTAAGAGCTCACACATTTGCTTCGGGGACCCAGTACATTCTCTTGCTGACTATATCTTGAGAGATCTTTTGAGGTCTGGCTTCAAATCCAGTTGAAGACTCTGCCTGAGAAGTTTCCCTGAAGCACAACACTTCTGGTCATTTAGATGCTGAGCCATCTAAATAAATTCACCACCCAGCACTATCTTCAGCATGTCCCAAAGGGAAGCATGGAAAATTAGGGCCTGTTCTACTCTACCTTCCACTTGAAAAAAAATTATGGGGTAGTAAGCCCTATCTTTGCCTAAACAAACAAAATTCTGACTCTTCTATTGTTCTACATGATGTCTCCATCTCTTTCTAGAATTCCGAACAAGTCCTCTGTGCTTTAGATATTTTACTGAGCCTTGCTGACATTTTCATCTTCTTGCTATTTTCCCATCTTCCTGTAAAGTACGATATCCTTGAGGAATCTAGGTTCGTTCTAACTCCAGTCCCATTCCTGCTTGCTTGAAGGTTCAAGGTTCTTGCTCAAGGTTCACACTCTTAGCCTTAAGACCTCTTCATTTGCATAGGTAATGGAAACTCCTTTTATATATCATAGCTTGAGTTCCATCCACCAGAACTTAAAATGAAATTCTGTGGTCTGACCTGCTCCAAATTGGACTCATTTCTCTCTGGGGTTCTATTGAGCTGGGATTTCACTTCACAATTCTCCGGTACTAAATGTTCCTGCTTTTGAAATCTGATGACTTCCCTTTTTAAATTTTAGTCTATCACTGTGTATATATACCACATTTTCTGTATCCATGCATCTGTTGATGGACATGTAGGTGGATTCCATATTATGGCTGTTGTGAATAATGCTGCAATGAACATGAGAGTGCAGACATCTCTTTGACATACCGATTTTATCGCCTTTGGATACATATTCAGTAGTGGGATTGTTGGATCATATGTAATTCTATTTCAATTGTTTGAGATATCTCCATACTGTCTTCCATAATGGCTGTACTAATTTACATTCCCACCAACAGTATGCAAGGATTCCCTTTTCTCCAAATCCTTTCTGACACTTCTTATCTTTTGTCTTTTTGATCATAGCCATTCCAACAGGTGTGAGGTGGTAACTCATCGTGGTTTTAATTTGTGTTTTTCTGATGATTAGTGATTTGACCCTTTTTTCATATAGTTGGCCATTTGTAGGCCTTCTTTGGGTAAGTATCTGTTCAGACACTCTATCCATTTTTTAAATCAGTTTGCTTTTTTACTGTTTAGTTATTTGAGTTCCTTACATGCTCTGAATGTTAACCTCTTATTAGATGTGTGGTCTCCAAGTATTTTCTCTGACTCAGTAAGTTGTTGACTCTGTTGATTGTTTCCATGGCAGAGCAGAGCTTTTTAGTTTGATGTAATTCATTTGTCTATTTTTGCTTTTGTTGCCTGTGCTTTGTTGCCTGTCCCTAAAAAACCACTGCTCAGACCAAAATTGCAGAGATTTTTTCTTATGTTTTCTTCTAGTAGTTTTACAGTTGGATCTTATATTTAAGTCTTTAATCTATTTTGAGTTTATTTTCTTAGATGGTGAGAAATAAAAGTCTAGTTTCTTTCTTCTGCATGTGGATATCCAGTTGTCCCAATGCCATTTATTAAAGAGACTGTCCTTTCCTCATTGTGTGTTCTTGACATCTTTGTCAAAAATCAAATGACTATAAATACATTGACTTATTTTTGGTCTCCTCATTCTGGTCTCTTCATTGGTCTATGTGTCTGTTTCTATGCAAGTACCATGCTTTTTTATTACGATCACTTCGTAGTATATTTTGAAGCCAAGCTAGCATGATGCCTACTGCTTTGTTATTTGTGCTCATGATTTCCTTGGCTATTTAGGGTCTTTTGCAGCTCCATACAAATTTTAGGGTTTTTTTTTTTTTTCTATTTCTGTGAGAAATGTCATTGGAATTTTGATAAAAATTACATTTAATTAGTAGATGTTTTGGGGAGTATGGACATTTTAACAATATTAATTCTCCCAATCCATGAGCATGAGATATCTTTTTGTTTATATATAACTTTTTATATTTCTTTCACCAATGTTTTATGGCTGTTTTAACCTCCTTGGTTAAATTTATTCCTTTTTTGTAGATATTGTGAATGGAATGATTTTCTTGATTTCTTTTTCAGGCAGTTTGTTGTTAGTTTATAGAAATATTACTA